TGGTGAGATTTTCTTCTCAGTCACCATTAGATTCTTATCACAAATCAACACTCTGTGGCATTTATGTATGATTATAAATCAAATAGTAAAATAAAGATTAGTTAATGCATTGAGGAACAGTTTTGCCTCCATATTCTTTTGACATTCATTATCTTACAGAACAGTGCTACAGTGACCCAGATACATTTACATGTATTTGGTAAGCAGTAATAAGTTTAGACACTCTATGATTTGCATGCTGCACTTAGCCATCCTGGTTTTACTTGGTTCTATTATTTTATTTAGCTAAGTGACCTCTACCTTAATCAGTAGAAAATATAATGCTAGTATGCAGATATTATAGAATACTAAATAAAATAAAACCTAAGTACTCTCGTCAAAATGTTGTGCACCTAATCAAAGCAAGTCTTTTTGATATACATCTGTAGATTTTTAAATAAAAAATACCCCAAAATAACTTCTGGGTACATTAATATTATGATACCTATATATATATATATATATATATATATATATATATATATATATATATATATATATATATATATATATATATATATATATATATGTATATGTATATGTATATGTATATATATATATATATATATATATATATATATATATATATATATATATATATATATATATATATATATATATATATATATATATATATATATATATATATATTATGATACCTATATATACATTATGAAACCTTTATATATATATTATGATACCTATATATATATATATATTATGATACCTATATATATATATTATGATACCTATATATATATATATATATATTATGATACCTATATATATATATTATGATACCTATATATATTATGATACCTATATATATATATATATATATATATATATATATATATATATATATATATATATATATATATATATATATATATATATATATATATATATATATATATATGCGGTAGTGGTGTAGTGGTAGAGCGCTCGCTTCATAAACGAGTGGTTCCGAGTTCGATCCCCACCACGTCCCTGGTAGTACCGCGCCCAACTCGTTTCTCCGCGCAGCGGTCTTGTTCGTCAAGGTTCGTGTTTTGAAGTTATAGAGTTGAGAGAGGGTTATAGCCACGAATAAGTAGCCTCCTCGTCTGTAGTGGCCTTCTCGGCCTTGAGAAGGTGAATTAAAATAAAAAAAATATATATATATATATATATATATATATATATATATATATATATATATATATTATATCAGGTCAGGTTGTCCTGCTACTGGTAATGTGTAACCTAGTGCAATCTGCTTTATGTCCTGCTGCCTTGTAGGATAAATTTTTGTAGGAAAAGCCTAGAAGATGCAAATTCTGACTTAAAACATCCCCTGCCATAAGGCTCTTTGTTGAGTAAAAGCTAAAGATGGCGTCTCAATAAAAATACTCATCTTGGGCAGAAGTTAAATGCATTTGGCTACTGTCTTGTAGAAGGTCTCCTAGGCAAAAAACTAAGGAGTAAACAGATACTATCTGTTGACCAGCTTCATAACCCTTCATTAACTATTATGCTGGCACAGATGTATTTATAATACATTGTTTCCAGTTTAGGATGTTAAATGCTGGATTTTTTTGACTCACTGCATGGGTTCTATTTTAATGACTAAACAAATTCTATTATAACCTAATGAGGGTACAGCTCTATAACACAGTTTTATGGTTCAAGGCCAGCTGGTATTCAGGCATGCCAAACTCTGTGGTAGCTCTCAGAGAGGTAAACTCCATCAACAGCTGTAAAATATCAGAGTACTAAAAGTGTCATGTTGCCCATGGATGGTGTCCCTGTTTGTACTTTTGATGTGCATTGTCAAGACCACATTTAGAACCCTTTGTTACTGCTTAGGGTTTATTAATAGTAATAAGGCAATTGTTTGGACTCTTAAATAGTGTACTGATTAATATCTGTACTCTTAGTAAAGATCTTTATCCAATTTAAAACTTCTCTTTCTCTTTTCTATCTGGCCATTTACTAAAATTCATTCTTGTGTTACTCGTCATGCAATTAAATCTCATCCTTTTACTGTGATATATATATATAATATATATATATATATATATATATATATATATATATATATATATATATATATATATATACATACATATATATATATATACATACATACATATATATATATATATATATATATATACATACATATATATATATATATATATACATATATATATATATATATATATATATATATATATATATATATATATATGTATATATATATATACATGTATATATATATATATATATATATGTATGTATATATATATATATATATATATATATATATATATATATATATAAATATATATACATACATATATATATATACATACATACATATATATATATATATATATATATATATATATATATATATATATATATATATATATATATATATATATACATACATATATATATATATATATATATATATATATATATATATATATATATATATATATATATATATATATATATATATATATATATGTATATATATATATATATACATGTATATATATATATATATATATATATATATATATATATATATATATATATATATATATATATATATATATATATATATATGTATATGTATATATGTATATATATATATATATATATATACATGTGTATATATATATACATGTGTATATATATATATATATATATATATATATATATATATATATATATATATATATATATATATATATATTCTCTGTTTGGAATTCAATGCCAGCGCACAAAAAAGCGCTGAACGGATGCACAAGGTTGGCATGCACAATTTAAATTTTTTCTTTTTGTTATTTAAATTAAAACAAAACCAGCAAAAAAAATAATTTAAACAAATACTAGATGAAATAGTTTAAAAAAACCCATCACAACAATTATTTTATTTCAATTCTAGTTAATTAAATTAAATAAAATAAAAAACAGCAAAAAAAAAAAAAATTATTTAAATTAAAAAAAAAATAATTATATTAAGAAGGGCAAGAAGAACCTTTTATTTAAATTTGTGTTTTTTGACAAATTTGACAAACAAAAAAGATTTGTTGCAATTTAAAAAAAATGCTTTTTATTTTCTGGGAAGGGCTTTTTTATGTGCTGCCTGCCTGGTAAATGCATTCAATTTTTAAAAACTCTATTCCAATTTTTAAAAACTCTAAAAAACATTCTGACTCCTCCCCTGAAGAACATTCTAACCCTCATTCGTTATTAGCAGGGGCTTTGAATTTTAGATCAACAAATTTCTAACATTTATCTTGAGTCAAAATAACATTCTGTCTGACAATCAAATTGTTTTCAATCTTTTTGTTCTACTTGTTAACTGGTGCAACTGAAAGACTCTATTGTGAATTAGATGGAGGCAGGAAGGCAAGGGCTACAGTTTTTGACATATCTAAAGCCTTTAATAAAGTTTGGCATGCTGATCTTCTCCAAGAGCTTGTTTCATATGGTGTATCTATGAAAGTTTTTAAGATTATCAAATCATTTATTTCTAACCGTTTTATTAAAGTCCTCCTTGAAGGCCAACACTCTTCTTCATCTCCAGTAACTTCTGGGGCACCTTAAGGTTCTATCCTTGGCCCTGTTTTGTTTCTTATCTACATCAACCCTTGGAATTAGGGTTGGCGTTCGGCAATGTCGATCTAACTGCTGACTAAGTGATCTAAGTGCTTGAGATCGGCAAATAACTGCCAACCTTATTTCTATGTTTTATGGTGAGACCTTTGAATCAAATTTTTTTTGCCAACCTGATACCAACCTCTAAAAAATTGAGGTTGGTAAATTATTGCCGACCTCGTTTTTCCTAATTCCGAGGGTTGCTACATTAATAATCTTCATGACAATCTTGCATCTAAAGTGGCTCTGTTTGCAACTCAACTTTATTCTCTTGTCTTGATAAAAAGTCAATTACCTCTAAATTGATTGTATATATGGAAACCATATATACAATTGATTGCAGTTTGCAGCTGCATTGGTAGCTTTTTATCATGCTCACCATTATTCCAGATGCCATTCTCTATCTCTAAACATCTTTTAACTGTCCCTGTATAAAGCACTCTTTTCATATTTGGGCTGGTTCTTTCATTGGTGCTCTTTCTTTTTTAGACAAGCTCCAAAAACGCATTGTAAACTTAGTTGAAAATGTTTTATTTGCAAAGCTTGAAGCTCTCAAATCATTGTATAGTTGCTTCTCTTTTCTACAAATACTATCAAGGTTGCTGCCCAAAGGAGCTATCACCTCTAGTACCATCAACCAAAACTCATTATTGCTTGACTCATCACTCAGCAAAGTCACATCTTTATTGGATTTTTCCCTGCTCTAAAAACTTATAGTCCAGTTTTTTTTCTCTACGTTAGATTAATTTGGAACTCTCTCATCCTTATATTTTCCTGATTAAATCTGTCAACTGAATCCTTGCTCTTTAACTTAATTCTTTATATTAACTTCTATCATAATGTTGGTTGTTTGCAGCCTTGTTGGGAGTGAATTAGAATAAGTTTGACCTTCAGAATTAGGAAGAATAAGGCCAGCAATAAATTGCTGACCTTATTTTTATATAAATCATCTGCAATGAAAGTTAGCAAACAATTGTTGACCTCAGACACTTTTATATTGACGCTGCTAAATGCCAAACCTAATTCCAAGTGCTAATTAGTTAGATAATTATTTTTGAAAATTACTTTTGTATTAATTGTTCCAAATTATTTACTTTTAAAAACTAACTTTATGGTAGATGGATTGGTGAGAAAATATTTTGGTTTGAAAAGAAACAACAAAACATGAACACATTTGAAAAAAAATAACAAAATATGGAAAGTGTGAAAAAAATATATATGTATACAATTTAAACAACACCTTTTTGAAATAGCAACAAATGTTTAAATGATATAAAATAAACAAAATATATAATAAATTTAACCTCTGCTTTCTTTAAAGCATCATGAGCCATCAGATGAATTGATTTTTTAGTGAACCTGTAAATAGTATAAAATGCTTAGACAGATTTATATAGTGTAATATATACATTTACATAACATACATACTTATATAAACATGTGTATATAAATATAAACATCAAAAAAAAGATATAGCAGTGAAAAACCTAGACAGAAGAGGTATGTTTATACCAATCTTTAGAATTAGGGTCAGCATTCAGAAATGCCAACCTAATTGCTGTCAAGAAAGTGTGCTGCTGAACTCAACTTAGCAGATTATTGAATAAACATATAACACTGGTAAAACTTTAAGATCTATTGAATCATGCAAAAAGCATAAATTTAAAAAAAAAGAAAATTTATATATTCTTAACACTGTCAAAAATAAATTGTAAAATCACACGCTTTATGAAAACTGAATTTGAAACTTACAAGTATCTCAAAGCGGAAAATATCTTGTCAAATGAAAGGTATCAATTGAAAAAAAGGTTACAGTGATTCATCGAATACAAAGATTAGACATATGAGCAATCTGAAGCAAGGAGTTTCTTTTTGTTTTGTCTTATAGTGGCCGATCTCACAATTGAAAATTAACTAGGGAAAAATTTAAATTCTAGACATGCAAGATTTTAAAGATGACATAAAAATTATTATTTAGAATTGTTTTAGTAAACACAAGGAGTGAAAGGCACTATAGATCAATACTTGTATCAAAAAGTCTTAGTTATATACATTATCCAAGTCACATTTTAAAAATCCGTAAAATTAGAATAGAATAGAAAAGAAGAGATATACATACATACATACATACATACATACATACATACATACATACATACATACATACTTGAGGTGTGTTGAGTCTTAATTACGTAAAATTAAGACTATGACAGCAGATTACAAAATAAAGTGTTTAGAAACCAAAATATTTATCAATTCTGTTTTTAAAAAGGTTTAAGTTATTTTTATCTATTATCCATTGATGAAGAGAATTTCAATCATATGTAACTTTGTGAAAAAATGGTGACTAATTCTTGAATTGGGAAATTGTCTGTGTATTCTACAATCTTTATTTCTACTTGATCGTTCCAGCTCAAAATTTAATTGGAAAATTGTTTGGATAAATGTTATGGAAAAAATCCGAAATATGTTTTTCCTTATTATTAGCCAAGTTTTTTCAAACCTTCTTATAATTTTTGTATGATTAATGAGTGAAAAAGCTTAAAAAACAAATAAATTACAAAAATATACACATAAACTTGTATGTATGGATAATGTTTTTGATATCCAAAAAAGATAAAAGTTGAAAAAAATATCTGGAATTCTGGAAATATCTGGAAAAATAAAAATCCCTGTAGTTAACATTTTAAAATAATTTTAAAATAATTTAAAATAATTACATACACCATGATTAAATAAAAGATGTTTAGAGTCTAAATTAATACCAGTTATCCCTCAGCCAGCACAGTCACCTGATTTTAACTAAGTAGAAAGCTTCTGGTTTATATTAGAAAATTACCAGATCATAGAGTAACAAATAAAGATTAACTGTTTCAACAAAACAAAACGTTCCTTGTTGGTTGGAATGCTTTACTAAATGAATTGTTAAAAAGACTTATAGAAAGCACTTTTTATGACTTCTGTGCATTGCAGAAGTCATAAAAAGTAAAGGATGGCCAATTAAGTACTAATAAAGCTAAAACATGAAAAATAATTTACAAACCTTATTTCTTTTTAATACTGTGCTAATTCTTATAATCATCATTATCATTGTTGAATTTAATTATGTGTATACCAAAACTAACCTGTTTGTATATTTTAGTTTACATATTATTATTTGAAGAATAAAAGCCTTCTATGTTGGGTTAGAATTAATTATAAACTAATAAATTTACTACACTACAAATATGTTATATATTATATCATTTTAAACATTTGTCTACATAAAATATATAAAATTTATATTTTATATAAGACGAATGTATGACGATATCTTATAAAACATATTAAAAAGAAATTAGGTTTGTAAAGTATTTTCACGTTTTAGCTTTATTAGTAATTAATTGGCCATCCTTATTTTTTATGCTTTTATATTTATTATAATATAATATGAGGCAAGGTTTCTTATATTATAATGTTATTATAATATAACAGGGTGGCCACTCAAATTTGAAAATAAAATTCTGTGACTTTTCCATGACTCTTCATAACCTTTTATGATAAACCACTAACTAGTAAATTATTAAGTACTTACCATGCATTAAACATTTGGTAGAAAGTTCTAAAATCATGTCTGAAAAAACTATTTTTCTTTTACTTCTCTGATAATAACTTACACTGCAAAAATATATTTTTCAAAAAGGACTTAGACTAGACGTACTAATACTTTTCATCCTAAAAATATCACAAGCAAAAAAAAAATATAGATCATTTTAAAAAGTTCCATGAATTTTCCATGAAATGAAAACTTAGGAACTACATGACTTTTCCATGACAAAATAAAATTTTACAACATTTCCATGATTTCTATGATCAGTGGCCACCCTGTGTAATATGAAGTTAAGGTATTTTTTGTTTCTTATTTTTTTTTTACATTTGGTTTGTGGCTTATTGATTTCAAACCAGTCGGTTTTTTTCGTTGTTGCAACAACTGTTTTGCTCAAAATTTCAATTTCAAGTCAAAAAAGTAAAGCAAATTAATTCAAAAATAAGATTTTATCCTGTTTACCTTTTTTAACCCGTTGTGATACATTGACAAAGATAACATATTTTTTATCCGTTTAAATCTACTTTTCGGCATACTTATTGGTCTGGTTCCGGCAGGAATTACATTATTTCAGGCCGGAATGCCGGAGCTTATTTTTTGCCTTTTTTTAAAGACATGTGACACAGACTGTGTAAATTAAATCAAAATATCATTGTCCTTTAAAGCAATGTAAAACAATAGGTAAACCTAGGTAAAATGGAAATTTCTTAACAAACACAATGTAATTTTACTTGTAGTAATCAATTATGAGAGAATTTTAGGAATATTGTGGTGCAAAAAGAGTTGGTATCCAGTCTGGGCAACAAACTAGCTCTTACATCATCAAAATAGTTACCTGACTCTGAGAATAATCTCATTATAAATGTTACTTAAACTTTAAATAGTTAAAGAGAGTTGGATGTCTAATACACTAAATATTTCAATTTTAACCTAAATGGAAAAATAAAAAACAAAGGAATAATTTTAAATATAAATATTATGAAGGTTAAAACTTTCAATAAAATAAAATGATAAGAAAAAAATAGAAACAATATATTCAATTTAAATGAAACATGAATCAAATTAATGAAACAGGTTATAAATATATATTATATAGAAACGATGATGTGGAATTTTATTATCCATTTCTGTAAACCCGGTTCCGGCCGGAATTTAAAATTCCCATTCCGGAACACCCCTAGTCAAAATCCGATTTCACATCTGTTTCGGTGAAATAAAATCCAATAGACCTTTTCAAAAATATCAGCGACGGTGAAAGAAGATTCTTCAAAGCGAGGCAGTGTTTGTAACAATCAAAACAAACTTGCGTTTACCTATAAATAGGGGGGGGGGGGGGGTCCAAAATTCTATATTTCTTGTTTAACCAGTTATTCTTAATTAATTTTTTGAGAAAAGTTTAAAGAACGATTCAGCTTTTGCTAATTTTTTATGGTTGACCTTCTACTTCTATTTTAAAAATTTAAAGATATAAAAAATAAAAGTCTTTGCAAAAGTTTCTTTGCGTATAAAGTTACGCAACTTTTCTTTCAAATTTATCCTATTCAAATTTTGATTGGATAAATTTGATTTTTAATCGTATCGTTTTAGAAAAAAAAAATTTTATCCTAAGTCTTTTTCTAAAAAAACGTTTTAAATAAGTAAAACGACAAATTGCTTCTAAAAAAAGTTTTATCTGAAGTCTCTTTCTAAACAAAACGTTTTAAGTAATCAAAAAGACAGATTGCTTCAAAATGTCTTAATTTCCTTTTTTTTTTATTTATTTTTAATCGTTATTAAAGCAATCAAGAAGGCTATTCAAGATTTCATTTTTTATTTCACTTTTTTTAATGAAGTCAAGAATAAATCTTCTTTTAAAGTGCCAGTCAGTAGAAGTTCAGTTAAATTCTAAAGTTTTAACAATTCTAAAGATAAACAGGCTAAAGGAACACCGCTACCTAAAAGGCTTTATAAAAAACAAACTGGGTGATCAAATTTTGAAATTTTCTGCTTTACTCTAAAACGCAGTGAATAGCTAGTTAAAAAAAATTCTAGAAGCAGTTAATAAGTATACCTCAAAGAGGTTGAATGATTGTATCATTCTTGCTAGAGTATTTTGGCAAAAGTTAGCCTCAGGACTTCAAAAAAGAGAAAAGTATTATGTGTTTGGTTGATGATGGAATATGATTAGTATTAACTTTCTATTTAAGTTGTTGCAGTTAGAAAGCTTTGGAAAAAATCCATTTAATTTCAACAGTAGATGGATGCTTAATTATTTAAATCATAAAAAAAAAATTAAGGTTCGCGCAGTTTAAAAATATTTTGGAGAATTATTGTCCAGTTATTTGTCCAAAAAGTTGAAACTATGGAATATAGTTGAAACGAGCTACAAAAACAAATGGATAACAATGGAAGAGTAGCAAACTTTACATCAGGTGTGCAAGATGAGTTCTGTTTTAGCTTGATTAAAGTTACAAGGCAGCCCATTTAGCTGTGAACTAGACATTATTGAAATAGATAAAGATATGTTAAAATGAAAAAAAAGTTCGAAAAATGAGGTTCTTTATTTTAGGGATACAATGTAGGTCATTGTCGCGGGGGTCTATTCTGTTTAAATACATGATTGTTGATATAAAAATACAAACCTCCATCTTATGTTTACCAAAGAACACACATATAACCTAGATGTTCTACAAGGAAAGTTCACGCAGCAATCTCTATCACATATGACTTTTATAGTTATTTTCGTAAATCGCGTAAATCCGGATTTTACGGAACCGTTTTTTCGGCCAAATTCAATGATACACTTTTTCAAGTTTGTTGAAAATTTGCATGGTATGTACAAGGTCGGCGCGATGGGGTTGTGTGGTTACACCCCTCAACCAATGATTTTTTTGTTCATTTAGTTGACAAAATTGACCCTTTTTGACTAGCCAGTCGCCAAAAGTAGACCCTTTTGACAAGTTAGTAGGTAAATTTAATCAGACAGTCGGCAAAAGTCGGTAGTGCAGTAAAAAAATTTAAAAAAAGAAGAAGCTTTTTTTTTTTTTCTTTTAGTTGGCAAAAGTTGTAATGGCGAATCCCCCTCCCCCCCCCCCCCCCACGTAACACCTATTCGCGCCGGCCCTGGGTATGAACTTGTGTCAAAATAGACTTTTTTTGAATACTAGAATTATGGAACTTTAATTTTACATGAATTTTTTTGATGTAAAATTTTATTTATTATGAATTTAGTTGTTTGTTAAAAGTTTTCTTGTTTTTTAAACATAAAGTATATATCAAAGAAATGCTGGATTTTTTTAAAAATTGCCTCTTACCTTTTAAAACCTTTTTTCTTACTACCTGCCAAATATCATTGAAAAAAAAGCATACCCAGAAGTAGTAAGAGATTGCCGGTTCTGGGCCATTTTCATTTTTAACCATATTTTCAACCATAAATTAATATTAATATAGGGTTCAATGTTAACCATGATGTGAATAATTATTTATATAAGAAATAAATTTTCAAATTTATATAAATTTGAAAAAATTGAATTTTTTTTAAATAAGTGTTAATTTTTTATTTCTTGTCGGAAAATGTCACATGATTTTCAGATTGGTCTTATGATATGCTCAGTGCGCATGCGTCGATTTTGTTTATTTGCTTGTAGATGCTGTAGAATATGAAGAAGCTGTTACAGTAGTATTTGTATTAGCATTACCAGAAGTAGCTGATACGCATATATTCACATTTACATTGGAGTTTTGCATTTTTATATACACAAGAAAATTATTTAGAAATTTTTTTTATAGATTTAGCGAAGCATTGATCTCTTTCAGAGATTATTCAATTCTTTATTATTAACCCATGAGTTAAAAGTATCAGGATACCCATACCACTTTACGAATGATTTATTACCTTGTTTACGAATAACCTTTTCAATTCTAAATATCTCTTGACTTGTTTTTTGAAGTTCTTGTTCATAAAAAGTACCTTGTATTTCTTCACCATTGTAATCAGTTATTTTATAAGTTGGTGGATCTGTGTACTGAACTTGCGATACTATGAATACTTCTTCAGTCCATCTTGGTGTATACCCTTTTTCAAATGCTCCTTTCTTTTTAGTTATTCTAACTTTATCACCTATTGAAAACTTGGGTTTGATAGGATTAGATATCACTTTACCATTTAGATTCAGCCAAACAATGTTCTCATTCTTTTTATTGCTTGCCTCAGAGGGTGTCATTTTAATTGAAGAATGCTTTGTGTTGTTATATTGATCTACCATTTCATTTAAAACATCGATGTATT